AGATTCATATAACTAATCATAGAGGTATCAGCATGAAAGGGTGGTCAGGTTGAGAAGTGAATTATCTGAGATAGGAGATGTTTGAGGACCAAGGTTTGACTGTACCTTCTTATATGAGTGGATTAAGAAACTTTAAGATGGCTAAATTAGAGGATACGAGAAATCCCCACATTGATTCCCCTGAAAAATATCCTCACCTGAAAACAAAAAAACATGCCCCAAATGAAACGACAGGGAAAATCTCCATTTAAATAACTAAATGAAATAGAGGCAAGAAATCCATCAGATACAGAGTTTAAATCAATGGTTATAAACATGTGCAAGGAACTTAGGGGAAGAATGGATGATCTCAGAATTTAAAGAGAAGGTAAGCATTAAAAAAAGGACGTAGAAACCATAAAAAAAAGTCAGAAATTAAGAATACAATATCTAAAATGAAGAACACACTAGAAGGAATCCAACACCAGGTTAGATAAAGCAGAGGACTGAATTAGCAATTTAGAAGTGAAGGTAGTAGAAAATACCCAATCAGAGCAGCAAAGAGAAAAACAGTATTTTAAAAAATGAGGGTAGTTTAAGGGACCTCTGGGAAAACAAGTGCAACAACATTCACATCACAGAAAGTACCAGAAAAGAAGAGAGCTAGGGATTGAGAACCTATCTATATATATATATAAAGAGGTGATATGTTAATTGGTCCTAACATCCCAGTTACAACCACTAAGAAGGAGGCTGCTTGCGTATGTGCGGCTTTGCTCCTGGAGACAAGGTGGAAGCGGGGAGATGCCCAGAGGAGGCCCATGTCTGGGAGGGAGGGGGGGTGAGGGCCCGTAGGGATCCCCTCACCACTCCTTTGCCACCCACTGCTCACATTCAGAGTGCCCTGCTGCTCACCTGCCTGGGGAAGGAGCACAGGCAGCAGGTGGGAGGTTTCCATGCTCTCCTCTGGCGCCATGACGGGGCGGAGCTGCCGCATTGCTCCGGAGATAGGGAGGAAGCAAGGAGGCACCCGGAGAAGGCGGGACCAGTCCAAGGCAACTTAAGGGACTGAGGGCGGGACTTGAAGCAGCCAGAGAAGGCCAGAGGGGTTGGGGGGCTGGGCCAGGCATGTTGGAGCTCTGCGTGGAGAAGTTTGGGTGTCAAGGCAAGGTGGTGGGTGGGTGGGCGGGTTGTGCGATTTTGCACACTGGGCTCCTAGTTTCAAGAAATGATTGAAAACTTCCCTCATCTGGTGAAAGAAAAAGAAACACCAGTCCAGAAGCACAGAGAGTACCCCCCAAAAATGAAAAGGCAACCTACTGAATGGAAGAAGATATTTGCTAATGATACACCTGAAAATGAGTTAATATCCGAAATTTATAAAGAACTCATACCACTTAATATACACACAAAAATTCCAATTAAAAAATGGGCAGAGGATCTGAACAGACACTTCTCCACGGAGGACATACAGATAGCCAATAGACATATGAAAAAAATGCTCGCTGTCTCTACTCATCAGAGGAATGCAAATTAAAACCACAGTGAGCTATCATCTCACCTGTCCGAAGGGCTATCATCAATAAATCAATCAACAACAAGTGTTGGAGAAAAGGAAACCATTGTGTACTGTTGTTGGAATGCAGATTGGTGCAGCCACTGTGGAAAACAGTATGGAGTTTCTTCAAAAAATTAAAAGCAAAGCTGCCTTATGACCCAGCAATACCACTTCTGTGTATGTATCCAAAAAAATCCAAAACATTAATTCGAAATATATGCACCTCTATATTCACTGTAACGCTATTTACAATAGCTATGATACAGAAGCAACCTAAATGCCCATCATTAGATGAGTAAATAAAAAAGTTGTGGTCTATTTACACATGGGATATTATTCAGCCATAAAAAAATAAAATAAAATCTTACCATTTTTGACAGTATGGTAAGATTTATTTCTTGGATGGACCTAGAAGGTATTATGCTAAGTGAAATGTGTGTCAGAGAAAGACAAATGCCACATTTCACTTATGTGTGGAATCTAAAACAAAATAAACAAAATTGAAACAGACTCAGATACAGAGAACAGATTGACAGTTGTCAGAGAGGGAAGCTGGGTGAAAAAGGTGAAGGGGAATTAAGAAGTACAAATTGGTAGTTACAAAATAGTCACCGGGATGTAAAGTACAGTCAGTACTACTGTATAACTGTGTATGGTGCCAGGTGGGTACTGGAAATATCCGGGAAAATACTTTAAAGTATATGGTTGTTTAACCACTATGCTGTATACATGAAACTAATACAAGATAATATAGAATGCAAACAGTAATTTAAAAATCCTATATAATAAAAGGCTAATATGCAAATCGACCGAATGGCAGAATGACTGGTCGCTATGACGCACACTGACCACCAGGGGGCAGAGACTCAATGCAGCAGCTGCCCCCTGGTGGTCAGTGTCCTCCCACAGGGGGAGCACCGCTCAGCCAGAAGCTGGGCTCACGGCTGATGAGTGCAGTGGTGGTGATGGGAGCCTCACCCGCCTCTGCGGCAGTTGGACATCCCTCGAGGGCTCCCAGACTGCAAGAAGGCGCAGGCCAGGCTGAGGGAAGCTCCCCCCCCCCAAGGTGCATGAATTTTTGTGCACCAAGGCCTTTAGTAAAATTATAAAGATTTATTTCTAGAATATGTAGTTCCCTCTTACACTGATCATTAGTCACCTGCACAGAGGACAAGATGGCCAGTTGAGGTGACAGAAATCAAGGAGGACTAGGTTTACAGACCACTCCTTATTGTCCAAAGAGCCCTTTCAGGAAAGTTTGCCTTGGTCACTAAATAAATGAGGTCTCATCTATGTTATAGCCAGAGGCCACTTTGTGAGGTAGTAAGAGGGCTGCCTGAGGCCTTCTCCCAGGCCTTGCTCCTGGTTTCAGGAAGTCCCAAGAGCTAAGGTGTTTGCTAGGGAGAACTTCCTCAGCCTGGGCCAGTCCCTCTGCCTCCTGGTTCTGCTGGAGGACCCAGCTACCCAGAGAACAGGGACTACAAACCAGAACCCAGTTAAAACCACAGGCTCCCAACTCTAACAAGATCTTAGTCCCGACAACCTTGGAATCTACGCTCCCTGTAAAAAAAGTAAGACAATTCATGTGTAACTGTAGCAGCTGCTCTCTAATGCTGGGAACCTTCCTTGAGAGTGCTAGTAGCTGACCCTAGTGACCACAGGAGACTGAACCCAGGCCAAGAACAGTAAGACATATGTCCCAAGTGTCTCCCCAGATGCCTCTTCTAGTTTGTCCCACTCACAGCAGCTTCAATTCTGGTTTAAACCAAAGCAGCTACATGTATTGCATGAGACACATGTGGGAGTAGAGGAGCTCCCAGCCCAGAGGCTGGCTGAGAACCCTAGGGCATGGGTGGCCCTGGACAGTACATGCTTGCTGGGGAAATCCTCCAATGCACATGCTTCATAAAAGCCACTTAAGGATGCTTCCCCTCTTCTTTGTTATCTCTGGGAAGCATGTGGGCTTGGCAGAATCCCCAGCCATACAGGGAAGGATGTGGTCCTAAAAGAAACCCCTGCTGGCTTCTGAAATCATGGGCCTGGGGCACCTCCTCAGACCCTAAGGCCTGAGTGTAAAGCACACTTAATGTCCCGTTATCACAGAGGTACCATCTATTCTGTAGGTCAACTGTACAAACATTGAATTCTCTAGACTGGCTTCTGCCAATTCAAAATGTGTTCAAGGACTGGAAACTAATTTATTATTTGTATTAGGCCTTATAGATGACAAAAAAGGGAAAAGACTCTACTGAGCTCTCCCTGCACCAAAACCAAACCAAACCAAATAAAACTCTTAAGAAACACAGCCCAACATAAACGTCCCACTTTGGATAGGTCATGCCATACTTTTCCCAACAACAGAGAGGTGGCCTACAGTAACCCCAGAATGTCACTCACTACTCTTCCCTACCACCTTCTGACAAATATCCGAATAATCTCTAACTCCTCAGAAAGTTGTCAATTAGGGAGGTCTACAAACTGATGGTATGTGTGCAAGGTTCATGCAGAATGAAGTGCAAACCTCACACTGGGGTTTCCTGAACTTGACTGAGCTGCCGATCACTGTGGCCGGTGCAGGAGCAGCGTCTAGTTTGGCCTGCTCATTTCCAGAGGATCAAGTCAACTCTTCAGCCTTCCTTTCAAGGCCCTCCAAAGGCTGGTCCTAGTCCATATTTCTGGACTGGTCTCTAAAGCCTCTTGCACAGAGACCAGCCCATCCAATGCTTTTCCAGCATGCCTTGTACTCTCCCATACCCTCTGGAGTGTTTAGTCAGAATCATATCTTTATCCAAAATGGCATTCCCTCCTATTTGTGCCTATTAAAATGCAGCCCAAAGCCTGGCTCCACCACGAGTCTCCTGGATCTCTGCACACCTCACTGCTCTTTCTCCTGACATCAGCTCACTGCCTGTCACTCTGCGATTTATCACGTCTTGCCCTGGACTGCAGCGAATGGTGTGTCTCCTCTCAGGGCTCAGACCATGGCCCTTCCAGAGTGTAAGGCACGAGGAATGAGGGGATGCACAAGGCCATCCACATGTTGCTATGACTGAAATGAGAGCTACAGCATGACAAGGTGTCATTCTTATTTAAGTCCTCAGTGTGAGGCCAGTTTTCAATGCTTGGTGAAATGAATTTGAGTAGTAAGTAAGGATTAAACCAATAGCAGACACAGTTTTCTTTCTAGTTAGCACACCATGAAGCCTGCTGGCTGGCAATAGGAGGACCCAGGAGCAAAAGGCACCACAGGCAAGTGAAGGGCTCAAGTGACCAGCACTCCCATGGGTTGCTCACTCAGCTGTAAAGCTTTTGTTTACTAAAGAAAATCCAAGGTGGCCAAGCTCTGGGGTCATGCAGCTGTATCTGCTCTCTGGCCCACTTGCCAGGTGCCCGACTACAGGGACTGTGTTTGATACTTCCATCTCCCTCAATGCTTACTTGTCAGCGGTTGTTCAATTAATACTTGCTGAATAAATGAATTTCTCTTTATTCAGAGAGTCCATACAGGTACCTTCATATGTGCAAAATTACTGGAGAAATACAAGTTGAATCGACACAGAGAACAAATACTGCCCACACTTCTGCAGAGGATGAGTGTTATCTAAGCCACAATGTTTACACTGTCTGATTCCATCAACGACCATCACAGAGTTGGAATGGAAGCCAACAGGATAGAGAAAATATCCAGGGTGTGGAAATCATTACACCTGCATCTCTCTACCGTAGCATTCCGAACCATCTCATGATCTTGTAGGTGATACATGGCGTTCACAATAAATCAATGATGTCCGATGATGGCTGGGAGTTTTCAGGAGGCCTTGGCTTTCATCTTGGACAGCAGCACCTCGTTTCTGCGGCCCTCCTGGAGGGGAAGCAGAGAGAGTGTGTATAGAAAGGCGGTGGCAACATTAGCACCCATGTGAGGCCCAACTGGTCTTGCTGTCCTTCCCCCAGTCCCACGGGAGATAACTGCTGACCAACTAAACCAGCCTCCCACCACGTTGTCACCAGTGTGGTGAAATTTCCCGGCGACATGCTGACCTTCAATACCAAATTAGCTATGAGACAACCACTGTCTGCACTGTCAGATTGAAAACAGGGTGACAAGACTAGGCACTGTCACTCCAAAAGACTTCCTGAAGCCTGTAAAACCTTCCAGGGGACAGACGCTGAAAGCAGAGTTATGTGCCGTTCCTGGATTACTACAGGCAGCAAGGAGAGACGGGGAGGTCCTTGGAGACAGACTAAGGAGCACAGCAGGTGAAGCAGTAGCAAAGTTCTTCCTCTGACAATAGTGAAGGTTAATAATATCCTTAACTTGAAGACAGAAACTCACAGAAGATGAGAAATATGCATCAAGGGACACCTTCCCCCTTAAGAATGAGCTGTGTGAGATCTATTACTGTATGTGCTGAGGGACATTACTGAGGGAGGTCATGGCCCCATCCCCTGCCTGTGTAACTGACATATAGTGGTATGAGGTCACCTCTGTATTATTTTATATTCCATTTTTCAGACATCTTCAAAGGCTTCTCACTGTGTCGTCCTGCCCTCTTGTTCCCACTGGCTTTCATAGCTCAGGACACATCCATCTGCTAGCAAAAATCTCCACCCCTTGCCCTGGCCAGTGGTTAGAGCACCGGCTGCACAGTGAAGGGTCTTGGGTTCGATTCCCAGTCAAGGGCACGTATGCTCCCGGGACACAGAAATAGAGAAAAATACTGTAAAAACACGACTATCTACTTGTTCTATCTACGGTTTGCTCCCGCCCCCAATGGGGCTCTTTTGGGAGGCAATCAGTCCATGCTTCTCTCTCACATCGATGTCCCTCCCACCAGCCCCCTCTCCCCCACTCTCTCTGAAAAGCAATGGGAAAAATACCCTCAGGAGATGATTAACAACAACAGCAACAAAATCTCCACCCCTTCCCTGGGCCATGTCACAAGGAGCTCTGCTTCAAACTGAGAGGTGAAAGTGGTAGTAGGAAGAGCCTGGAGAGGTTGAGCTTGAGGGTCAGGCCTCTAGCAGCCAGACCCATTAATGTGGAAGAAAAACTTCCTTTCACCCTTGAACTCTCTGCATACAAGACCCCAATGTCAGTGTTTCCACCTCCTCCCTGGGCCTAGGTGCTCCCAGCTCTCTGGAGGCCCTTTGCTCTTTCTGGCAGCATCAAGGCTCACGGCCACACAGCGCTGGTTTCATTAAGACAAATGCCAGCTCACTGTAGGGTTTACACTCATCTCTCACTCCGCGCCGAGGCCTAGACAGGCTCTTGGACTGGGGTAAGGCGGAACTCTTCCGTCAGAAGCAAGGTGCTCAGACACTTCTTGAGCACATACTTTTGGAGGGGGAGGCAGTTAATTTTTCTTGGGGGTGGATACAGAAAAATGGTGAAGTTTCCCTTTCAAAAATTAGTGACTGAAATTTGCTTGGGAGAAAAACCTTCCAGTCTCCCCACCTCCCAAATTAGGGAGGGGTAGAGATGGAACAAGAACAAGTAGACAGTCGTATTTTTATAGTACTTTTCGATACTTCTGTGTATTTTTTAAAATTCCCACAAAAGATAAAACAAAATAATGAATAAAGAAATTAGCTTTAATCTTCACGCACTTCACCTTCTAAAAATGAGGCAAAAACAACACAGAAGCCTGAACCCACTGAGGTGGCAGAGTCCCAGCAGGCGTGATTCTGTGCGTCACACCACACGGAGCGAAGCCTGAGCTGTCAGGAGAGCCATCCAGGCTGTCACCCCGTGGGTGTGTGCACTGAGGAAGTCCCATGCAATCTACTAGGAGCCTTTTGGGAGACTACGGAATGACACTGTTTGACAGAAAGAGTCCTTTAGGCATTTTTTTTTCTAGAGTAAAAGGGAAAATGTCTCCTTGCCCGTTTCCTTCCTGCTTAAAACCATAGGGGCCTGCTATGCGCCAGAAACAGCACATCTGCTCACTCAAGATTATGTGTGCAAAGCCAGCTTCAGGCTTCAATGCTGGGTTACAATTTAAATCTTTGTTTGGTGACCTTGTCAGAGATGTGGTTTAGCAACACAATTAATTGATATAATACTGTGATTAAGGTGATTTGTGATTTCAGAGTATGTGTAGTTTCCTGGCAGACCTGTTATTAACAAACTTTCCCAGGGTGAGGGCATGAATTAATGTGCTCAATTAATGGGGAGCAAACTACATGCAATAAAGAGAGGTGAGGTTCTGGACAATAATACTGTGCTCTGCATGACGAATCATTATTGCCCAGCACAGGTGCTGGGGCCAGGATGTGGTGGGAATTCAGAATTCGGGAGTAGAAGACCAAGCATGTGGGGAAGAGACAAGTAAAGAAAGCAAGACAGAGAATGTTCTGGGAGAAGACTCCACCCTGGGATGAAAATCCAACTTTCAAACTAGTTTTCTACCCCAAATGAGATCTTATTTGGAACTGCAGCATGTAAAATGTCAGAATTACTCTGGCTGAAGGTCTGAGGAGCAACAAGGAAGCCACCATCACCAGCTCCTCCTCAACTCCTATGGTGGCCCCAAGTCACCTCAGAGGAGCTTGTGGAAGGAAGTTTAAGGTTTGAGAACACCGATATATGGTTGCTAAATTAAAAATTTTGTAACAACCACAGAGCAATGCACTATCACCCTTATTTTATAAGATGAAGGTAATTTTAACATAAAAAAAAACAAGAGGCCATGCTATTTTTTAAAGAGGTTAGGTCGTTAAATAGAAAACATTTAGCTGTCTGAAGAACATACTACGTTTCTCCTCCCTTTGTTTCCAGCTTGCTTTGGAGGGAAGAACACTGAGGCATGGCAAGCACCTGGTCTAGGGGACGTCCCTAGCTCTGAAGGCCCCACCTGTATCTCTGCTGGGAGAGAACTGTCTCAGGAGGCAGGAACACAGAAGTCTTGGTGTTTAATGCACCTGAAGGAACCTTTGGTAGGAAGGAACATCTATCTTTGGAGGTCACCCTAAGTCTTCAGCCCTGAGAGCCTGTGGTGCAAGAATGAACTTTTCCATTTCACTTTTATTTGCTTTGACTTTGACAACACATACTTATCCTCCCCAACTTACTTGTTTGTTTCTGCAGGGCAGCGCTGGCATGTGCAAGCAACATTTGAAATGTAATGCTTATCCTCTGGCCTTCTCTCTTTGTGAGTTACTTGAATTAAAGGGAAAAGAGTCCCTGTTTATTCCCTGCCATCTCACTCACTGGCCCTTCCGCAACTGCAGCTCCAGCCAGACCTGGAACACCTTGCTGGGTCATTGTCTGATGCTGCCCAGCCTTAGGCCTTCTCGGGACTGCTCCCTGGCTGAAGGACTCTTGCTCTGCCCATGGCCAAGTCTTTCCAAACTGAGAGAAACCTTCCCTACCACAACATGTACATTAGTTCCCCTTCAGCAAAGACTGAAATTACTTATTTATTATTACTGGTTTATTACGGCTTGTTTCCTTGCTTGTCATGTCTCCCTGAGATCACGACATAAGCTTCTTGACTGAATCTGTTTCACAACCTGAGACATCCCCCGGGGCATGCATGGTAGGAGCTGGAAGAACACTTAGTGAAAAGATGAAAGATTCTGAAATGCCCATGGCTCCCAAAAGCTAAACTACAAAAAGGGGAAGGAGAAGTAGGGCAAGAAAAAAATGAGGAAGGAAGGAAGGTCTTAAAACTGTACAAGAACAAAATTATCACTATGGAAAGATTACTAGTATATTTTTTTATTCTGTAGACCAAACACTAAAATACAACTTACCTTTAGTGCCTCTGTATTTTCAGCAACCTTTAAACTCACTTAAACCACATGGATTTAGGTTAGAATGGGGGTAGATATTCCTGGAAATAAAGCTGCTGAGATCTGGGAAGTGACAAAGTAGTCTCCTTTCCGGAAGATCTCTTAAGTAAAGGGCATACATTTTTCTTTCTGGAACAGTGGAGAGTAACCCAGCCCAAATGCAGGGAAGAAAAGAAAGGGACAAATGAAATTCAGCGACTGGTGGGTGTCACAGGTACTAGACACAGTGCTAGATGCAATTGTCTCTCATCCGACCCAACAGAACTCACCAACGATGAAATTAAGGCTAAGTAACTGCCCAAGGGCACAGCTGGTAGTGGTAAAGGTAGGATTCCAACCCAAACCTGGCACACTTCAAAGTTCACTCATCCTACACGGCTTCTCAAGGATCCCCCCACACCCCGATCCTAAGGTTGAGGGGAGAAAAGCTCTAGGTCTAAATCTGTAACAAACATTGTTTCTAGGTGGCCCGTGAGGTGGGCCGATGCTGCCATTTTATAAATTTAATGTGCTTGTCAAGTGTTAGGAAAATGAAAAAAGATGTGAAGTCTCCTGGAACATTCAATTAGATCCTCAGGATGGCTTCAGAACAAGGCGATCATGACCTACCCCGATGCCACCCTTCACGGTCAGATCTCACTGCCACCTTCCCTTTCCCATCACAGACCAGTAGAAAACCAAGGAAGTGCTCTGGTTTCTAAAGGCTCATCTGGAAGTGAACATAAATCTCCCCACAGCTATACAAGCCTGGCCAATCTCCCTCTTACCTCCTTGAACTCTTTCACAGTCTTAAAATACAGCCTCTGTTTTTCCAACAATTCCAAGTACTGGTCATTCAACTGGTCTCTTCTCATTTTGTTCTCTTGCTTCTTCTTTTCCATCTGTTGAAACATTTTGGGAAATGGTAATGAAAAGACATGTTCTGACCAAGGGCTGTTGGCAACATCCAAAAGGCAACTATTACTAATATTTTTATAGATTTCCTCCCAGTATTTTCCTTCTTTATATCACTTTTGAGGTTGGTTTATCTACTTACATGATATTGCATAGAGGTTCTATTTATTCAGCTCTTTTCCTATCACTGGGCATTAACTGCTCCATTTTCATTGTTTTGTTTTTTTGTTTGTTTGTTGTGTGACTAAAAACAATTCACAATCAACCAAGCTATTTTGCCCCCAGAGGATAGTTGGTAATATCTGGAGACAGTTTAGATTGTCGCAACTTGAGGAAGCGGTGCTACTGGTATCTACTGGTAGAAGCCAGGGATGCTGCTAAATATCCTGCAATACACTGATAGCCTCCATACACCAAAAAATTATCCAGCACTGAGGGGCCCACAGCATGAAGCCTGGGGGAGGATGGAGAGAATGAGGGGTCAGGAGATACCTTCGTCAGGACAGCATCTCCTAGTAAACAGGAAGGAGAAGCCAAAGGGGAAAATGCCAGCAAGTTTCTGTTTTCTTTACTGTTAGCAAGAGCAGCTGAGGAGGAGCACGGCGGGTGGGAAGTTCCACCACACTGAGATGTGGGTTGAGACAGGCTCATGGTTAGCCAGGTTCTCTGCTCTCCACCTACCTCACACCCAGGCCATCAAAAAGGGACTCCATTCATTCTCTGTAACAGAGCCCATTCCACCTTGGTTAACTATCTGTGTTCAGGCAAGTGCTGCCTCACACCAGCTCTCACTTTTGTGGATGAAAAATCTTGTCACTAGTGACACCTTTTTTTTTCCTCTTTTGAGAACAGTATTTTTCTACAGGGAAAACAATACGGAGGGATTTTGCCCTCAGTTAGTTCATCACTTGTGAGATGAGAGCATAGGCAGCCTGGATGTCTGTCTTCTGTGAGTGGGTTTTCATGACAGGTCCCACAGGCAACCCTTTCTTCCATTTGTTTACGTTCTGGCATCACTCACTGGACCACTCTGCCCCAAGATCATGAGCAGATACCCTAAGTCCCCAGGTGGTTCTACAGCCTTGCCTGAGGACCGTATGGTGTGATACATTTTTTTTTTTTTAACAAGAAACTGCAGCTGTGTCTGGCTTTTAGACAGTCAGCAAATCTGCTTAGCCACTGACAAAAGGGCCCAATATGCAGAGCCACAATGAGGAAAAGCACGTGTAACTGGGTGATTATCTGAAAAGCAACCTCTGGAGCTCCCACCCTTTTCAGTTCCTCTACTTTCTATTCTGACTTCTGAGGCATTCAATATCCTCTCACTTTAGTAGAATTCAGTTCAGCAATGACTGCATTTTTTTTTTATAGGAGGTTCCTAAAAACTACAATGCGCCTGAGATCCTAAGGAATCAATCTTTAATGGCAGAATGTCAGGAACCAAAGATGCAGCGAGGAAGTGATGCTGATGAAGTTGGTTTCTCATCTGTAAATAGGTATGACACCACTCACTTAGGAGAGCATTAAGAGGATTGGCATAGTCCTAGGCACAAGCAGGTTTTCAATCGTGGGAGATATTCCTAAGAGCTGCCTTTGGGCCAGCAGTGCGGGAGGTCCTAGGAGCCGGCCCTGCCCCTGCAGGGGCATGAAGATACGTCTTCAGGACTGAGAACAAATGAGCGAGAACAGACAGCAGAAGCCTATTCTTCCCAGGGCCTTCTCTTCTCCATCGCCAGTATAAAACCCGCCTTCTAACCTTCATTCTACTTTGCTTAATTCCTTCAACGATCTGTTCCATCTGACGTAAAAACTGGTCCCGGGAAGCAGGGGAAGCCATGGCTCTGAAAGAAAAACGAGCAGAGGTATGACCAGCACACAGGGCTCTGAATAAGGGGGAGGTACCATGGAGTCAGCCCAGTCTGGGGTACCCAGATGATGCTCCAAGAGGCAACTAGGCATTTGCAAGTGGACCTGTGGAAAGCCCAGAAAGTTAAGAATTCTGAACTCTGAAGACATAAAAATGAACCTGATTTTACAATTGAATATTAATCTTTTTTTTCAGTTTTCCTACAATTTTCTTCAGTAACATGTATTTTCTTTAATTAAAATTCCACTAAAATTAACAAAAACTTTTTTACTTTGAATGATAGGAGGTACTGCTTAAGAAATGAATTTTGAAAGATAAATATCACATGATCTCCCTCATTTGTGAAATATAATGAACATAAACTGATGAACTAAAATAGATCCAGAGACATAGAAGCATCGAACAGACCATCCAACCTCAGAGGGAAGGCAGGGGAGGAATGGGGGGAGGGTGAGAGATTAACCAAAGGACTTGTATGCATGCATAGAAGCATAACCCATGGACACAGATAGTAGCGGGTGAAACATGTCCTCAGGGATGGGAACAACTGGGGAGAGGTCAACGGGAGAAGAAGGAGACATATGTAATACTTTCAACAATAAAGAATTAAATAATAATAATAAAATAAAATAAATGCAAAAAAGAAAAAGAAAAAAAAAGAAATGAATTTTGTCTGGCCAGTGTGGCTCAATGGTTGAGCTTCACCCCATGCACAGGAGGTCACTATCAGGGATATGCCTGGGTTGTGGGTTCGATCGCATCGATGATTCTATCTCTCTCTCCCCTTCCCTTCTTCTCTCTGAAATTAATAAAAACATATTTTAAAAAAGAAATGAATTTCATTTATTAGTTCTTATAAATCTGAGGATTTGAGACACTGCTCAAGATTAGTAGACATATTCAGAGATTTCCCTAAAGCCAGGCTGGGAAACCTCGTATTTCTAGAAGCAGCAGCTGAATGAGTAGATTTCCTGAGGTCCTAAAACATTCCCCTTTGCCTCCAGTCCCACAGAAGAAGTGACATCAGAGGGGTCAGAGCACATGCATACCATGATTAGGAATTCTTCCAAAAAATAGCACTCATCACAAAAACACCCAAACTGCAGACTCTCTCAATGGCCAGAAAGGAAAGATGAAGGCATCACTTTTAGAAATATCACAAGGTTGTAAGTCACTAACTGAATTTTTATCAGGGAGCTATGGGTGTTTTCAATTAGAAATTAAGCTTAAAATTTAGAGCTTGTAATCTATTAAGATCTTAAGTTACTAGTCACCTAGTAGAGATTTGTGCTGGATGGGAAGGAAGCCTGCTATATAGACATCAGGCCCTGGAGCTGCCTGGAGGGTAGATGGGCCAATGGGCATGCATGCCTCAAGGCGGGTATGATTTCAATATATCAGTTTAGTACATCCAGTTTTTGGAGAAAATTCCTATCTGAACAAAGTACTTTAGAGGATGCACATTAACTTAAAACAAAGTCAACCAGAAGATTTCTAAAAATCTTTTAAAAATTATACAGATTATACCCCATCTGGGTGGCTCAGTTGATTGGAGCATCGTCCTGTACATC